TACTCAGGCTAGACATAACTACTGCATCTGTGTTACAGACTGTATAATATTAACATTTCAATTTAGAAAAGAAAAAAAAATCAGCAAAAAATCAGTTATCAGTAGGGTCAATGTACATTAGAAAGCCTATGTGTAGCTCAGATCAAAGTAATATTTAACTTTTGCAGCACAGTAACTAATGAAGGAAATGAATCAGTTGAATTTACTTTACATAAGCCAGTGGCAAGATGGAGTTTTGAAAAGGTGGCTCTGGACTTGTGCTCACTCACAACAACCCCGTCTCATCAGGTTCTGCCCCTGTAAGACAGCCTGACAGCGTTATGTTTTCCTGTACTTTGTGTAGCTGTTTCCATCATACATTTAAAGCAGCTCTCTAATTTACATAGAACATTGTGTCCCATGCCCAAGGCAATTTTGTCCTAAAAAAAAAAAAAAGGGAGGGGAGCAACAAGGAAAAGTTAGTTCAGTAATTTAAATTTCCAGCAACACAAGTGGGAGGTTAAACTTTGCTCTAATTATACAGCACCACAGAAAGCATTGGAGTCACACTGTGAGAACTGTTGTAAGGTCCTCTTATCACTGAGATAGAGATTACAGTGTAAATGGACTGAGGCTGAAATTGGCTTATGATTCTTTTTTTCTTTTAGGTGATAATATCAGGCAAAACACATGAGCATACACCAGAGAGACACCTGAGCATACACCAGAGAGGCACTGTGGTCAATAATGGTTCCCTCACTCTTGTGTGAGCCACAGAGAGGTTAAACCTGGGTTAGTAAAAGAGATGAGGTCCTAGAAGCAATGCACCAAAAACGAGGCTTGCAGGAACACGCTAACCAGTGGGACCTGCTCTGCTGATGAGCGGCAGGGCTGACTGCTGCAGCTCTGAGAAGAGGCTCCTGTTTAGCACAGGGAGGTACCACTACCCTGGATTAAAACGAGTTCACTCCCTTAATCAAACTTCATGCCCCAGTGGCCTTGCTGAAATGGAGACAATAACAGAGGAGACCTTGGGGATACCAGCAAAGCACCTGCAATGTGCTGCAGTGCAGGTACTGGCCCTAAATTTTAAGCTTGTTAGCTTGGGTCCAGGGAACAGTGAGGCCACAGAGGGACAGAGCTTTGCTCAGGCTCATTACTGCTGCTTCCGTGACTACAGGGTTGGAGAAAGCTTGTGGATGGCTAACTGCCTTTCTGTGGGCAGGGTAGGACTTCCTCTGCCCATCAAACAAGCTGTAAGCATGTCCTACAGCTGAGCAGGGATATTTTGGACCACAGCCTCAGATTTGGGTACAGCAGTTCTTTTTAAGACTTTCTGAAAGTAACTATTAAGGTCTGAAGTTGTTTTCCTGCTTGTTTATAATCATCAGCTGAAAGTATCTGACAATAACTGCCCCATAGTCATGCAGAGAGTACCTTGTAAAGATCCATGCATGTAATAGAAACAACACTTTGAATTAGCAAAAATAGTGAAAGATGTGCTTGTGGAACTAATAAAAATTCACACAAGAAGTATACTTATGTTTATTCCCCCAAAACACAAAAACCCTAGACAAAGTTGTGGTGAAAATTGAGAAACAACAGCTAAATTCCATGGATGTCCTTGCCTATAAAGCAAAAGCAAGCCCATCTTATGTGTTGATAGGATATCCAAGAACCCGTCTGAACATTTAGGCTAGATGCAAGGATTTGAAGAAATACTACTTGGAGCGTTACACTGGGTATACACAACCACAAACCTTAAGATCCCTTGAGACTTCAAGGAGTTCATTTCTAGGCAGTAAGTGTGAAGTCTAAAGCCTATGGGAAATCGTATAAAGGGGAGAGAAAGTTAGGAAAGGCAAATAAATACAGAATGGACCCAAAATGGGTAACCGTCCTATTGATAAGAGCAAGAAAACACCAGTTAGTCCCACTTCGTCACTGTGCAATTGAACATCACATTTTCAATACCCCAACTGTCATCTGGCTTGGTGCCCTCTCCTGCCTTTGTGTGGAAAAATCATCCCTTCTCCCATTATACCAGGTGGATTGTTTTGATCTTCACCTTCTCTCATGGATACTTCCTTCAAAAAAGAAGGTGACAATCACTTAGCAAATGGTGAGCATTCATCCCACATGCAGTCAGAATTGTCACTATCGCTTTGCACAAGTGAGTTGACTCCTATCTTGCTGAGACCTAGTTCAGGTCTGACCTTTTCCAGCCCGTCTTTGCTTTTTGTCTAAATGTCGATTAATGCCATTCAAGATGGCTGATCTTTGTTCCAGGATAACAAGCGTTTTATTGCACGGTAATTGCTAATTCTGCCTGAATGTGTTAATCCTAGTGTGACTCCCTACCAGCTGTCCAGCAAGACAGAGCCCAGGTATTTCTATGACAGACTTGTGACTCCGTCTCAAACGTGACTCATTAACAGGCTAACAGTGCATGGACACAGCAATG